AAAAAATAACATAGTTAATTATTTAAATGAAGTACGAAATTACATAAATATAAAAAGAAAGAAAATACAGAAGGAAGTACAAAATTACATATATTAAAGAAGGAAATAACATARTTAATTATTAGGGCCAAATTTTTGCCATATATGCTCAATTAAATCATTTTTTAGAGSGKTATGAGCTTCCCTATTGCSAAGTTGTTCCCTATTAGCCATATACCTTGATAGGCTTGCAATTCGTTCAACGGAGAATCCAGGCAGCTGACTATCATCTTCTACGGAGCTTTCTTGTTGTCGATTTGTGGGCATGTCGTTAAGAAATTCAGTAGGATCATAATAATGRAGATATGTATCTCRTTSGTCTTCAACAATCATATTGTGCAAGATAATACAGGCAATCATAATTTGTCCCATATTATCTTTGTCCCAAACAAGACATGGATGTCGAAGAAATGCAAAACGAGCTTGTAGAACTCCAAATGCTCCTCAACATCTTTTTTGACACCCTCTTGATGTTCGGCAAATAACTTATGCTTTTGGATTTGGGGAGACGTAATTGACTTGACAAATGCAGCCCATGAAGGATATATCCCATCAGTGAGATAATATGCCCTATCATTTTCACGACCATTCACGACATATGTAACTTTTGGTGCTCGACCTGCTAATATATCATCAAAAATAGGAGATCGGTGAAGTACATTAATATCATTTAACGAACCTGGTGTTCCAAAGAAAGCATGCCATATCCATAAATCAAATGATGCGACGGCTTCCAAAATAATTGTTGGTTTTCCACTTCTTCCAGCATATTGTTCTGCCCATGCGCTGGGACAATTTTTCCATTGACAATGCATGCAGTCAATACTACCTATCATACCCGGAAAGCCACGTTGATCCCCAACATGTAGTAGTCTTGCCAAATCATCTTTGGTAGGCTTTCTAAGGTACTCGTCACCAAAACATGAGATGACACCATTTACGAAGTTGATGAGAGCTTCCCTTGTTGTGGATCCACTCATTCTCAAATATATGGTGAAAGAACAAATATATAAGGAAAATTTGAATCATCAGTGGGGGACAATGACATGTGAACTTTAAGTTGATAGAGACAACACATAATGAGGAGACAATGTCATGTGAACTTTAAGTTGATAGAGACAACACATAATGAGGAGACAATGACATGTGAACTTTATTTGAAAGAGACAACACCATTATAAATAGACATGACATGTGAACCAAAGCTAACTTCCAAAGCAACCATAGCCATTCATTTTAATTAAAATTACAAATACATAAAATGTAAATTGCAAAATAAAAATACACGAAATACTAAATTACTAATACATAATACGTAAATTAAAAAAATACACGAAATACTAAATTACTAATACATAATACGTAAATTAAAAAAATACACGGAAGAATAAATTACTAATACATAATATCACTATCCATACAACATTGTGAACAGACGTTCTTTCAACGCCTCCTCTGCCGGTGACAGATGTTCTTTCGCTATCAGTATACGTAGATTTTTGTGGTGTTGATGGACATCAAATTTTTCTTTGTCAAAGTTCAGTTTTTTTGTCAAAAGTTCAGCTTTATTGTTTCTTGTAATCGTCATTGCATGAAGTTCTGTAGAAAAATCATTAGAAAATGAAGAAGATTGTGATGTCTTACCTTTTCCTCTCTTTTTTGCCACATCTCTACCCGTAGGACGCTGAATCGTTGAACGACCAACAATCGGAGATTCTTGGTCGGTGTCTTCTTCTTCCGTAGTTTTAGACCTTTTCGTGCTTCTACCACTATCTTCACAACCCATTTCATATTCCGTACGAGAACGTGTAGTGTCACAGTCTAACTTTATTTCCCACTTGGGATGTTTACACATAACTTGGTTGAATACAAGCAAGTCTAAAAACTTTTTCCTTCCCCCCTCATAAATTGCATGAGCTCCTTTCTCAACATCTGTCATACTCATTCCACTTCTTTTTTGACGATATGATTCTTTGTAAGCAGCAACCCATTTGTTTGCATTTTCGTTAAGTCGCGTCCAACGACCTTTCATTTGATTTTCGTTCCTTTCGCGCATTCCTTCTGGATTTTCTTCTCGAGTTTCATCATAGTATTTTTTTCACTCGTGAAAATAGCGCTCCCTTCTTTTGGTTTTTGCCACGAGTAGGGTCTTCAGTAACAAAAACCCATGCCGACATTAAAGCCATATCTTCTTTAGTGTCCCATGGATGGTCGGTTCTTGAGGTTTTTTGTGAGGTTTGAACATTTTCAGGGATATACTGAGAATTATCAGAATGTTGAGAGTTAATCCAAAAATTTTGCTGGTTTGGATCCATTGAGGAAAACTTGAAAAAAATTGAATTTTCAAGAAAATGAGAGTATTGAAATGAAGAGAAAGATTGGTGTGTTGAAAATATGTCAAGATTTGTCTCTATTTGTAGGGAATTGAAAAATATGATTTTTGGTATATTTTTTGATTTTTGATATTTTTATTAAAGTTATCTTTTTAACCAGATAAGTTTTATCCTAAAAAAATTTATAAAACAACCAATTAATAGATGTCACCTCATTCTAAAATCTATCCTAAAATCTATTTAATAATAAAATAATATTGTGAACTTTGTTTGCGTGTGCAAACAGTTTGCACAAACACAGCCACTTCCAATTTTTTTTAATTAATAGATTTTTGTCTTATTCATTTTTAGGTTGGTTTGGTTTGTGAATGGAGGTAGTCTAAGTAATATGCATCAATAAACAGTACTTCATACATAAAACATGATTTTTAAGAGTTTTTGTCAAATATTTTATAATATAGTATAGATTGTTTATTAGCGATGCAATTAAACCTAAAGCATTATTTTGTAAAAACTATATATTTACTTTTTTATCATATATAATTATTGTTTTTTTTTTATTTTAAGTGAAAAATAGATTAAACAGACTATTACATATTTTGATACGTAATTATAATTATAAAAAACTTATCAAAAAGAAGTACAAAATTACATATCTAAAATATATAAATAACCATAGTTGATCATCAGTATCGAATTTTTGTCATATATGCTCAATCAAAATCATTTTTTAGAACGTTATGAGTTTTCCTATTGTGAAATTGTTACCTTTTAGCGATATAACATGATCGATTTGAAATCCGTTCAGTAGAGAATTCAAATGATTGATTATCACCTTCTGTAGAGCTTCCATGTCGATCTGTGGACATGTCGTTAAAAAATCAGTAGGATCATAATAATTTTAGTATGTATCTCATTCGTCTTCAACTATCATATTATGGATGATGACACAATTAATCATAATATGTCCCATTTTATGTTTGTCCCAAACAAGAAATGGCCGTCAAATAAATGCAAAACGAGCTTGTAGAACTTCTAATTCTCGCTCAACATATTTTTTGACGACCTTTTGATGTTGAGCGAACAACTTGTGTTTCTGGATACAGAGAGACATAATTGACTTGACAAATGCAGCCCATGAAGGATATATGTCATCAATGAGATAATATGCCCTATCATTTTCTTGACCTTTCACGACATAACTAAATTTTGGTGCTCGGCCTGCCAATACATCATCAAAAACAGGAGATCGGTGGAGTACATTAATATCATTAAGCGAACATGGTGTGTAAAGAAAGCATGTGTTGGTCATCGATGGATCTACTGATGAACCTCTGATTTTCTTTCTAATATTTATCATCTTATACCTTGATAGCTTTTGGTTCTTTTACTTGTAAAAGGTTTGGTAATGGACTTAATCAGATCTGCAACATCGTAGACTAGCCGATATCTCCAGAAGTAGATCAACTAATGCGGATCAAGATCTACTATCTAACTTATGTACCAAGTCTTTCTCTACTAAGCCAATTTTCTTGATCGGATAGTCACCATGACTATCAGCCGATCAATCTAAAGGTACTCTTGTAGGAACTTTTCTAACTAAATCTCACCAACTTTGTACTTAACAAAAGGAATTCTTGGAAGCACGTGAAAGCATGTTTGTACTAATATGCTCTTGATGTGACCTTTCAGAAATGTATTCTATATGTCCTAGTGACAAGTCCATTTACCTTGTACGAAGGACTCTCCAAAGTTTCAAAGACAACGTTGAGCATCTTATCCCCAAGTGACGTATCCCCATGCATTAAAATGTATATGGTGGTATTTAAGCCAAAATCTCTTCCCATGACAAGGTTACGCTTTCAAATAGCTCTCTCCATGAATGGAAAAAATCGACTACTATCTAAAAGGCAACTTGAGTGAAAGATAGTTTAGGATAGTTTACTTTGTATTAAGCTTCCTATTTCTACACCAATATTGGTTTTTAGGTGTAATTCTTCATATTTATGTCAATAAGAATTATAATTAAGTAAAACTCGTGTAACTGTATTCAACCCCCCCTTATACCAGTTACAAGTTAGGTTTTTGCCAAAATCATCTGAGACTAACAAGTGGTATTAGAGTAATTAGTTTAACTTCATAAACTAGATCTGTGATAGAATCATCATCCTCAGTCGTTCCTCTTTCCTCTCAAGCTCCAACCACTGGTTCATACGATAATGGGTCTATAGCCAAATCACAGAAGTTCAACAAGAACAGCATTTCTCTCTGGAAAAGTAGCATGATGCTATTTCTAGAAGGTGTGGAAAATAGATACCCCACCATTCTGAAGGAAGGCTAGTAGTTCCATGCATCTAGGTCCGACATGGCAAAAAGAAAAATGATGAAGATGATGACTCAAACAAACCCTCCTTGAAAGAAGAAAAATCAGAAGTCATCGGTCAAGAATCCAAACCAATACAATGAAGATGACAAAAGACTCGTCTCCATAGACATTAAAGGCAAAGCTATCATTGATGTCTCTCTTACAGATTATTCTTTGGTAAATCTCAAAACTGCCAATGATATGTGGAATACTTTATGTGTACTCTATGAAGGCATTAAAAAAGTAATAAAAAGCAAGAAGATTGCTTAGAGAGAAGTATGAGTGTTTCGCTTTTGAGAAAGAATAATCTCTCTTCGACTACTAAAACAGATTCAATAGCTGCTCAATGACCTTAAACTTCATGGTCCACGAGAATGAATAATTCTTAAGCAAGTTCGTGGACTGTTGTTGTCAGTATTTCACTACCTTAAAACTTCAACGCAAAAAATAGACCTTGACGCAAGTATACACCTTAATCTACTGTCGTGTTGTAACAAGTAATAATGCTACAAGTACCGAATATCGTTCCCACAGAGATGGCTTGTAGAGTCTTTCAAAAAGTCGAGTCTTTATATATTGATTTCAGATGGTGAATTCGAAGAAATCCTTTGTTTGGTGGTTAATTATCAACTACGAAGAATTAGTAGTACAGAAGCAAATTGTAACACCCCATTCCACACATTGCATGTAACATATACTTCATACACAAGAAAAAAATATTTATACACCACATAGGTCCCTTAGTATAAGAATCTATCAGTACTGAATACATGGTCCAAAATTTCAAAATATAATTCTTGTACTATTTCACATTCTTCTAACAAAACTATACTTATCATGGTCAAATCATCCAACAAATATGCACATAGGAAAATATTACATTTTTCCCTTCCCCTTACCATCTGAACCTCCTGCAATATATATTAAAATCACAAAACGAGGGTTAGACTGAAAGGTCTAGTGAGTTCCCTTTTAAGTTATTGCAAAGTGAAAATCACCAAAACTTTATTTAAACAACTTTTCTTATATATAACGAATATATGAACAAGTAAAACATATTACCAGAATATTCCACTTTTCTTGTCAAACTCTTTGCTTTTAGCTAATACATCAAACCCAAATAGGTTTGTACTAATCAGGTTTATCATAATGTCACTTTTAAACCTTTTCAATTAAACAAGGTTCATTCAAAGTTCAGGCCAAACCTGTTATCCCTTTTGTTAGGAATGAAATTCAGTGTAAAATTGTATTCGTCTTGAAAGATAAAATTGTCTATAATTGTATTAAAAGTCATCGTGTTTGACTTTTCTTAGGCTGTTTGACTTTGACTTTGTATAGAGATTTGACCCTATATAAAGGGTGTTTGCTTTGTTATTTTGAGAAGTGAACTCAATTGTAAAATTTGATACGTATATTGAAGTTTGACTAGATTTCAGATCTTGACTTTCTCTCTCTATTCTCTCAAGAGTTCTTACAAGCTTATTCATAGATCTACGATTGTTGATTTGAAGGATTCATGGAAGATTGATTAATTGGGATTTTCACCTTTCTCAAGAACATCCAGACTATGATTTCCAATAAAAACTCTGATTCTAAATCTTTAAATCACAAAGAAATAAAGATTCCAAATCATAGTAATCTTAAAGGATATAATAGTAGGAGTTATATTATACATCACATATACAAATGCCACTCTTATATCCAAAGGTACACCTCTCCTTGATATGCCACCCTTATCCCATGGTACACCTCTCCTTGATATGCCACTCTTATCTCATGGTACACCTCTCCTTGATATGTCACCCTTATTTCCTCATCAAAACATTTACAAAATAATTCCAATTAGACAGACCGCAGTCATAAATGTTCTAATGAAATATCATCAGTTCAAAACTATCTTTATCCAAATTCCCATTCTTTAAAAAAGAATATTTAAATGATAAATATACAAATAATACAAAGGTCAAAGTACAAATCCGGTCAACACAGACTTGACCGGACTTCATCTCTGGTCAAGTCTTAGCCGGTTTAACCAATCCGGATAACATCAAGTTTTTGTCCGATTTAACAATCCGGACAACACAATCATTCTGTCCAATTTAACAATCCGGACAACCCAACTAAAAAACCTTTGTCTCAACACATCAAGCGATTTTTCTTAAATTGTACGACTCTATATCCGGTTTAAGTTCAATCCGGTCAAACCCTTGTCAGATTTATATGCAAACTGAATGATAAATTCATAACAAATTCAATTACGTATTTCAAAGAGACTAAAAACATTTTAACCACTCACCATTGATTTAAAACAATTGAATCCAACTTCAAACAAGCAATCTGGTCAACACTGTCCTCTTT